AATCAACGCCTCAAAGAAATCCCTAATGTGGCAAGCCGGAGGGTCAGCCTCCACTGGATGCCCCTCCTGGGCATCGCAGCACTTTAATAAGTCCTGTACTGGACAGAAGTCCGACGACCTCTTTCAAACACCTATCTGTGCCCCTATGACTAGTTCCGCAATCCGACCGGATCAGCTCTGCAAACAGCGACGCTACACGAAGCTGCCCAGACAAATTTTGTGCCAGCAGTTGCTTCAGTGCAGAGCGCACCCACAAATTCCATATGAACGTCGTCTGTGGAGAGCCAAACGAAAGGCACAGATAGTCCCTAGTATGAATTTTCAACAAGTAGGCCTAGCCAGGCCACCCACCATATTATCATTTACTAAAATAGTGCGGCAGCTGATTTCAATCTGATAATCTCCAAAACTAGCTAGCCTGTTAGACAAGTAGTCCTATGCTCATATTTCAACTAATTTTTCAAAAGCATCAATGTTCAACTACAGAATTAATTCAACCAAATTAATAACCGATGCGCATAGGTCAACTTGCAAATTAAACAAAACAATAACGTAAGGGACAGCCCTACTTTTTCGCAAAGCAAAATGATTAAACACTATCATAAACATAAACATAATTTTTCAAATAGTGCGCCATTCAATTTCCTTTCAGCAAACAGACGCAACGATCAAATACAGTGATTAAATATATGTACAAAACACATGCAGTAGCATTTAAAAGAGTAGATTAAATTCAATCCTTTTAATTTAAACCGCTACAAATAGGAAAATTTCGCGGAAAGCTCAAAGCATTTTTTAATTTTAATTCAAAGTATTTTTTAACTAAGTGCTCGACCAAACCAAATCTAATACCCCTTGACAGCGTGATTCAACGCTCCAGGGGGGCCCTAATCTTCCCACCACCAAGGGGAGGCCACATGGCGTGAACCCGAGATAGATAGAGCACAACCTTTAACAGTTGCTACTCGGGTTGTACGCTTTCACTGAGGCCGTCGGCAACAGAACATTTTGACAAGTGGACTGTTGACGGCTTAAGGCTCAGTGGAGGCGGCCGTGGTGGGAGCTAAGGCGGCAGCTTGACAGGGCCGCCTCCATCAAATGGGGAACAGTGGTACACCAGTCGCGGCCACTCAGCTAACGGAAGTGAGAAGGGTCCAGCGGACTGATGAGTGGCCGTGAAGTTCCTCTCCACACGCTGAGGGGGGGTGATGACACCCCCGCCCCTGGGGGAATTACCCCCCAACTGGTCGGGGGAGGGGCCCCTTTCAAACTTAGGGGCCTGATGGCTGGCCGGCGGGCGCCGAGAGTCGCCCGGCAGAGGGCGTGGCTGAGCGCCCCCGCCCGTGGGGGTCGAGGGCCTGGCAGAGCCCCGAGAGGAGACGCCGTTCGCACTCAGGCACAAAACGGCATGATGATTGCCCTGGCAATGCAGACAGGGCCGTCGATGCGGACAGTCTTGCTGGAGGTGCCCTCCCAGACATGACCAGCACCAGCGGCGCTCCTTGGCGATAGTTCGCCTAGCCGAAACCGGCTTACCTAATAATTTCGGGCACGACGTTACCCGATGATCAGATGCTCGACAATAGGAGCAGGGGGGGATTGACGACGACTTGCCTGGAGGATTCAGCCTCTCACTGGGCACGGCTCGTAAGTCGTCAACGGTGCCCGCCGCGCTCTCTATCTGCCGGCACTGCTCCTCCAAAAACCGCAGCAGGTCATAGAAGGGCGGAATATAGGAGGCCTCGTCCCCGCCGTACCTCTCCTCAAAATGGATTCGAAGGTCGAGAGGTAGACGGGACAGCACGATGCGGAGCAACAAAAAAGCCCATTCGCCCACTGGTAAACCCAGCCGCCTCAACGTATTACAGGCCACCAAGACTGGATCCAACAGGTCCGGACGCAGTCTGGCCCGGTCACTAAGCAGCGGGAGGCTTAGAAGCTGCTTAACATGCTCGTCTGCAATTCGCCGGACGTTGGCGTATCTTCTGGCTAGGAGGTCCCGAGCAGTCTGGTAGGCGTCGTCCGACAATTTCAAGTGGCCGACGACGCCCAGGGACTCCCCCTCCAGTGAGGCCAGGAGGTACGCCATCTTTTGGCTCGGGGTCAAGTCACTCCGGGCGTCCACTAGGCTGTCGAAAAGACCAACGAAGGTCAGCCATTCGGAAAGGACCCCGGAGAACTTTGGCAGGTCCAGAGTTGGGAGTCGTCCCAACAGCTCCGGCTGAAGCTGCTTCAGAGAGGACTCGGACAGGTCACTCATCCGAGCTTCACGCGCCTCCTCGGCATACCTGCCTTCAGCCTCGATCAACTCGTCCGTGAGCCACAAGAACTGCTCATATTCCGCAAAGCAAGAGTCCAGGACTCCCTTCTCCACATCCGAATCCTCGAGCTCAGCGTAAGCCTCCTCCACTGCGGCCCTTCGAGCATCCACCTGCTCGAACCGCTTCATCAAGTTATGGACCCTATCCGGTCGACCTATCAAAGCATGGGCACTTGTGGCCCAGCGTAGCTCAGTCCGCAAACAACGGATCAGTAGCTTGGGCGATGTCATCACTATTAAATGCAAATTACGACGCGGCTTGAGCACAGATTACAAAAATAACAAACAAAAAATACAACAAAAATTAACAGTTAATAAATGCAGTTCCTATCAAATCGCGTTGAATAGAAATTACACAAATACGAATTACTACGTATCAACCAAATACAAGTTAGCCCAAAAGAAAAGACACAATCAAACCAACAAACAACAAATACTAGTGCGATCGAATCAAGTTAAATTCAAATTGCGCAAATACAAATTACTACTCTTTAGTTCAAATACAACTTACAGTATAAACGAAGATACACATCACGGTCGATCAACAAAAAATGCCTAGCTCGGAAATCGACCCTTCGATAAGTAATCCACTACAACTATCCGACCACGATAATTAACCGATTACGTAAAAATAACCATCTACCTACATGACGTATATCTCTAGAAAACTCCCGCTTGCGCAACCTAGGGCGCGGCTTTTCAAATCTACCTACTAACCAAAAAAAGGCAAGCAACAAACAACTTAGGGAAATAATTCTATTATTACGTACAAAAAATATTTTTACGTATTACGGACGGGCGTGATTGTAGATACAAATTAAACCAATCAAACCAACGCTCCCTGCCACCAAAATTGTTTAATGTTTATCAACCACTACGGTCGGGATCGACCGGGGAATCGAACCCGGAATCGCGCTCTGCTACCAGAATGTTACGGCCTACGGCTGCTCTCTTAAAGGATCAGACCTTCAGGGGCCCATGAGCTGAAGACCTCTCGAGCAGACGTAGGTCGGGCCTCCTAAGGCCACGTGGAATCTCTCTAATTACACTAAAATATATGGGGGAGCATTATACTACGGCCAGTCGACCGGAAGGAATTTGGCGGAGTTCACTTACCTCGATCCAAGACGACTGGTCCCTCCGGAGTCGGTCAGGTCGCATGTAGTTGTGTAGTGCAAGGGAAAGAATGGTGATGTGGTGTGTATCTGGGTGTGACTAATGGTGATTAAACCTGGGCCTTAGCCGTCGGTAGCAGCCCGAGCGTCGACACCGCTCCAATTTGAGGGGGCCTTTCGAGGTTATCCACAGTCACTTTCTTGGTTCACCACGATGACAGTCACTTAACTCTATCGTACGATTAACTAGCTTACAGAAGCCACTAACTATCGCGGGGTATAAGGTTACCGCACAAAACACGCCCGGAGTTTCTGGGTCAAAGGTCACTACCGTTTCGCGTGGCAACAGTTAGTTCTAAATACCGAGGCCGCACTAGCTTATATTGTCGAATGCACTTATGCAGGTTCTGAGTCAGACACAATAAGTCCCGGGAAGCTCTCCAGTAGGAATGCGCGTAACAAATCCTAGACCGTATATTTACGGGCCGCACCTAATTATTCCGAGTTCCCTAACAGAACGGACCGCGTGCTCACGTCAGCACCGATTATGGACGATTGACGCGCTTGCGACCCGCGCGCCACTGCCACGCTCGGAAGAACTTCAGACCGGAATCGCGCCGAGCCGAGTGACATCTGTTGTCGATTCCGACAACAGAGTTTTGCGCGAACAGTTATCTACGAGTATATTGAATAAAAAATTATTCTATTTGTATCATCGACTACGAAAATGAACGCGACTTTACCCGTGAGGACGCGTTGTCATCCGTGAGGACTAAGAAGGAATGCCTCGTTTCCAGTAAAAGGGATCACCGGTTCTCTACACTCAACATACAAAAAACAGCAGCGTTAAGCTGTTATTTTACGCTGGTATTCAGTAAGAGCGTGGTCCTTCCCCGGTCGAGTCGATCCATTCGTGCTACAACTATACTACTAATCTTTATATATAAACATTACGTGTCACATTGTTTGTCCGCGATGAACTCCTAAACTATTGAACTGATTTCAATGAAATTTTGCACACTGTGTTCAGTTTGGTCAACTTGAGAGATAGGATAGTTTTTATCCCGATAAGTGACCCTCAATATTTTTTTATTGCGAATTTTATATGTTATGTTTACTGATTACTCGAAGACGCCTGAACCGATTAATGATGATGATGAACCTTATATTTTCTACCGACTTCAAACAGGAGGAGGTACTCAATTCGACTGTATGTTTTTTATGTGTGTTACCTCATAACTTCTTTCTGGGTGAACCGATTTCTATGATTCTTTTTTTATGTGAAAGCTGATAGTTATCGTGTGGTCCCATATGAATTTGATCAAGGTCAGACCAATGGTTATTGAGTTATCCTTAATAATGTGTATTAATTGACTTCCGACTGCATTGATAATGATCTCAATTTATTTATATTGAAGTCGGTTATACAAAATTTTTAATTTTACCACTTGTTAAAATACTTCTTTCTCCATGCCACGCTGAAATGGCTGTTTCCTTTTACATTAACTTTGTTCCTTAAAAAGGAAAAAAGTACTTAGTTGTAATGTGATTTTCTCAAATTTCAGGTTAATACGTCTTATTGCACTGGCTTTACAAAAATTTCTATCCGACATTGCAAATGATGCACTTCAACATTGCAAGATGCGAACCTCCAGCCAGATGACACAGTCATCAAAGAACCAAAAGGGGCCCAAGGAGAAGAAGTATGTTATGACCATGGAAGATCTTGTGCCGGCGCTTCAGGAGTATGGCATCACCGCGAAGAAGCCGCATTACTTTGTTTAATGGGGAACTCAGACTGTCCATTGTATGTTCTAGGTGCATTTAAAGTGTGGGTTATATTGTGTTTTAAATGTTAGAATTAAGTAGGCAAAATATCATTGTATGTAATATGTAAGTATTAATAAAGTAAATAATCAATATCAATTAGTACTATGTTATTTTTGTAAAAGTATTTATTGGTATAAATTCATCTCTACAGGATTACGAGACAAGACATTTATAGAATATTGATGATATACGAGCACACAGTCCACCTGATGGTAAATGGATGATGTGGCTTACATTTATCTTCGACTAGCTGTTCCCCGCGACTTCGCCCGCGTGTAATTTAGGGTTTTAATTATGTTGCGCGGAACCCTAATTATTTTTCTAAAATATAAGTAGCCTAAGTTACTCCTTATAAAATCAGCTATCTGTCCCCGTCACGTCGAAATCGGTCCAGCCGTTTCGGAGATTAGCCGGAACAAACAGACAGACAGACAAAAACTTTAAAAATTGTATTTTTGTTATTAGTACCGTATGTACTTTCATATGCATTTAGTAAAAAGCTGGTATTTTGACATTACAAACAGACACTTCAATTTTATTTATTTGTATAGATTAAGAATCAAAATGCAGATGCATTGTCATCCCTGAGGACTAAGATGGAATGTTTCATTTCCAGTAAAAAGGGTCTCCGGTTGTCTACACTCACCTTACAAAACACAGCAGCATTAAGCTGCTATTTTACGCTGGTATTCTGTGAGTGTGGTCCTATCCCGGTCTACCGGCTCTACCACGTAAAAAAGGTCCCTTAAGGTCCCTGTTATCCAGGTTTCACTGTATTAGTTATGTTTTATATGAATTAGATTAAAAATAAATAAACCAAACCACAGATATTCGTAAAAGTAGAAAAATTATAAAAGAGTTAAAATGTGCAAAAAATTAAAGAGCAAACCACTGACGCATTGTTTTGTGTGTTAAAATAATACTCTAGAAACTGATATGCTTTTATTCAAAACTAACTTCTCAATTAAATGAAATTGTGTAAAAAACCTCAGTGTCAACTAGCGACATCTGGTGAGCGAAAAATTATTAGCTCTCATTAAGGACGCCTACCACTCCACGGTCTCTTACAGCAACTCTCTTACGGTGCTGGTTATTAAATTGGAATTTTCTTCCAATTCCTTTCCGTCAAGCCAAATCTATATTTTTAATTAAGTTTAGCAAAAAATAATTTCCCTGTTTACTGATTTATATTACTTACTGTGTATTTAGCTGTAATCAGGAAGATGCTGCTGCACATTTCCTGTTTCATTTCCTTTTGTCACGGGCTGATATAGGATAGTGGATCATCTTACGCTTCTGTCAGCGTTTTTCGAACATCAAATAAAACAAAATGTAGAATTTATATTAACCTTTATTTTCTCCTATTAAATAATCATTTCTATTAAATAATCATAATCATCGCTTAACATATCTTTTCTATGATATCATTTATTATTTTTACTGCGAATCAATTTAAAATAAATTAATTTTTAATGCAGAAAATCATATTATCTAAGTACTACATTTCTCTTTCAACACCGTTTCATTTGCCGTGTAGTGGCGGTCAAGAATATCCACTACTCCATATCCTCCCGCGGGTGTCGTAAAAGGCGACAAAGGGAAACAGGCAGGAGATGGGCAGCAGCATCTTCCTGATAATAGCCAAAATTACAATAAAAAAACTGCGGTTGCCAACCCGCTCGCCAAGCGTGGCAACTATGGCAAATACCCCCCTATTAAGAGAGTAACAAGGACACGGCCCCCAGTCCCCGGCGGCCCCGCTATTCCTGGCTACGGTGGCGACCATGGTAACGGCGGGGCAGGGGGTGCTAAGAATCTCCGGTGGAGGTTCGGTTGCCACCTTAGATGACTCGACCTGGCAACGTACAACGCACGCACCCTGAGGACTGACGAGAAGATCGTGGAGCTGGAAGAAGAGATAGACAAGTTGCGTATTATAGGATTATCCGAAGTCCGAAGAGAGGGGGAGGACACGGTAATCCTCGAATCCGGCAACTTGCTCTATCATCGGGAGGGCGACCATCTGTCCCAAGGAGGTGTCGGATTTATCGTCCACAAGTCTCTCGTTAACAACGTTGTAAAGATAGGGAGTGTGTCGACGAGGGTTGCGTACCTTAAACTCAGAATCACCAAACGGTATTCGCTGAAGGTCATACAAGTTTACGCACCAACCTCGGCACACCCCGATGAGGAGGTGGAGGAAATGTATGAGGATATCTCTAGAGCCATGCATTCCTCCAAAACCCAATATACGGTGTTAATGGGAGACTTCAATGCAAAACTAGGCACAAGAGAGAACGGTGAGCTGAAAGTAGGGAAATTTGGAATAGGGCAACGGAACCCAAGGGGCCAGCAGCTGGCCGACTTCATGGAAAAAAAGGGACTCTTTATGATAAACTCTTTATTCCAGAAGCAGCAGCTGGCCGACTTCATGGAAAAAAAGGGACTCTTTATGATAAACTCTTTATTCCAGAAGCGGCCCCACAAGAAGTGGACCTGGTCGAGCCCCGACGATTCGACAAAAAATGAGATTGTGACGACCAGACGACAACTGTTCAGTGATGTCTCCGTGATCGCGAGGGTGAAAACTGGTAGCGATCACCGAATGGTTAGAGGCACACTGAACCTAAACGTTAAGTTGAAGAGGTCTTGTCTAATGAAATCAACGCTTCGTCCCCCTCGTGCTCTGTTCCAAAGTCCCGAAACCTTTCAGCTCGAGTTACAAAACCGTTTTCAGTGCCTAGAAGACTGCAATACGACGATAGGACGATAGGACTGGACGATAGGAATGACAAGCTCGTGGAAACTGTCCATGCAGTCGGAGCTAAGTTCTGCAAGACCCGCCGCAGAAGAACACAAAAACTCTCCGATCACACTCTTAATCTCATGGCTGTTAGACGGGAGATGAAGCTACATTCTTCAACAGATTTGACAGCATACAGGCAACTGAACAGACAGATCTCCAAATGCATGCAGCGGGACTTACGCAATTTCAATACAGCTTGTATTGAAGAAGCGATCGAGCGGAACCAAGGCTCCAAAGTCTTTGTCAGAGATCTGTGTGCCAGAAAGAGCCAACTGTCAAAGCTGAAGATCGAATGTGGCAGCATCGTTTCCAGGACACCTGAGATTTTGAGTGAGATTGAGAGGTTCTATGGACAGCTGTACACGTCATCGTTGGAGCCACACGCAAGTGTGAGTAACGATCCAAGAGCGAGTCTTATCCGACACTATTCCGAAGATATCCCGGACGTCAGTCTGAGCGAGATTAGAATGGCTCTCCAGCACATTAAAAACGGCAAGGCCCCAGGCGAGGATGGAATTACAGCGGAGCTTCTGAAAGCGGGTGGAAGACCGGTACTTGAAGTCCTTCAGAAGCTCTTTAATTCCGTCCTCCGTGGTGGCCTTACACCGGAGGCGTGGAGCATAAGTGCGGTGGTCTTGTTCTTCAAGAAAGGTGACAACGCTCTCTTGAAGAACTATAGACCGATTTCCCTTCTGAGCCGCGTCTACGTGCTGTTTTCGAGAGTCATTACGAATCGTCTCGCGCGCAGACTTGACGACTTCCAGCCTCCTGAACAAGCCGGTTTCCGAAAGGGCTTTAGCACCATAGACCACATACATACCCTTCGGCAAATTGTACAGAAGTCCGAAGACTACAATTTTCCACTATGTCTGGCGTATGTGGACTATGAGAAAGCCTTTGATTCCGTCGAAATTTGGGCGGTGCTGCAGTCCCTTCAGCGGTGCCAAGTTGACTGTCGGTATATCGAAGTGCTGAAGTGTTTGTACAGTAGAGCTACGATGGCTATCCGAGTACAGAACCAGAGTACGAAACCTATCCAATTGCAGTGAGGTGTAAGACAGGGTGATGTTATATCCCCGAAACTGTTCACCGCTGCATTGGAAGACGTTTTGAAGCTTCTGGACTGGAAAGAATACGGTATTAACATCAATGGCGTGTACATCACTCACCTTCGATTTGCCGACGATATAGTCCTTATGGCAGATTCGCTGCAGGACCTAAGCACCATGCTCAATGACCTCAATAGTGTCTCCCAACGGATAGGTCTTAAGATGAACATGGACAAAACAAAGATTATGTTTAATGTCCATGTCACACATATGCCGGTAGTTGTTGGGAGCACTAAGCTCGAAGTTGTTGACGAGTATGATTACCTGGGATAAATAGTCCGACTAGGTAAGTCCAACTTCGACCGAGAGGTCAATCGACGGATTCAACTCGGCTGGGCAGCGTTCGGGAAGCTACGACACATCTTCTCGTCAGACATACCTAAAAACCTTTAAACGAAATTAGGAATGAGGATATCCGCAGTAGAACCAGAGTAACCGACATATCCCAACGGATTAGTAAGCTGAAGTGGCAGTGGGCTGGCCATATAGCTCGAAGAACCGACAACCGATGGGGAAGAAAGGTTCTTGAGTGGCAGCCTCGTACCGGTAGGCGAAGTGTAGGGCGACCCCCCACGAGATGGAGTGACGACCTGGTAAGACATGCAGGAAGTCGATGGATGCAGGTGGCTCAGGACCGTGCTTTGTGGCATTCCTTGGGGGAGGCCTATGCTCAGCAGTGGACTTATGAAAGGCTGTAATGATGATGATGATGATGACCGTTTCATTTTATGGATAATTGAACTGTCCACCTGTGGGTAAGTGGTTACTTCAAACAAAAAAGGTCACAGAGGCATTGTCATTGTCACGTACGACGGCTAAGATGAAATTGCTTACAGTTTGTAATCACACTGGCTGTGGATACTGTTGTTAGCAGAAATAGATGAGAGTGATACCAATCCAGATGGACTTCGAGTCAGAAAGACCCTACCATCAATTACATACCCGTACATGGAGAAGTGAATTACGTACATGGGAAAGTGAAGAGGGAGGAATTTAAAAGGGAAAATGAAATTAAATATCAAGTTTTTCTATTCGGTAATACGAATTTTAGGAAGGCTGATTTGGTTCACCAATTGGTGATTTGGTGGAACCAATGAACCAAATAAACCAATGTATCAAACATTGGTTTATTTGGTTCATTGGTTCATTTGGATACGCGAGATGTGTTTTTGAGAAACATGTCTT